TAAAGTTTGTGCTAATTTGTTACGGCAGCAATAGGAAATTAGTACAATTTATAGAAATCTAATAATTTTTCTATAAGCCTTAAGGTATTTAGAAATAATAGAAATAAAACCAATTCATAGTAGTAAGGAAAATTATAGAGGACCTAGAAATTTACCTAAAAATAAATGTGAAGATCTGTATGAAAAAAACGATAGAGCTTTTCTGAATCGATGAGGTCTGAAATAGAGACCTAAACCACACTTCAATATTGTCAAGAGGGCAGTTTTATACAGATCGTCTGTAAATGAGGTTCTCTCTCCAACACTACCCTAGTTTTTAAAAGAAACTTGTCAGGATGATTCTAAATTGAATGTGGAAGAGAAATAGCCATGAAATTGAGAAAGTTATCCAAAAATGTAACATTTGTTATTCTTGATGTCCAAATGTATTTCAGTCATCCTAACTTAACACATGTGATGGTGCCATAGCAAAGGCCAAGATCAGTGGGGTGGGGATGGGTTAGAAATGAACAGAGCTTGTTTTAGATGGCGCACCAGGGAAACACCCTCTATGGAGGTGACTTTTTGGCAGATAACTTGACCCTTGAGAAACAGCAGAGATCTGAGGACAGGGTGTTCTTGGCCATGCACAACAAGGGACCAGGTTGGTTTTAGGAAGAGCAAGGGACCCCCCTTCTGATGGAGGAGAGTGTGGGAAAGGTAGGGAAAATTCCAGGAGTGTTGACACCGTGGATATAAATTAGCTTTCCTCCATTATCTGTCTTCTAATTTCTTCCTGAAGCCTCAGTTTTCCTCACCTGCCTAGGGAGAGGGCTATGAATTGATGATGTTACCCAATTATCGACCTACAGCTTTGGTCTTGCTGAGCTTCCAGTAGAGCATGAAGGAGGCTGATTCAAGGCCTGGGTCGGGACATGGGTGCTATTTGTGGAGATCCTGCCCCGTCCGTTCCCAGCTGGACATGCCTTTTCTATGCCATAGCATCCGGGACTTCCCCAGGTGTAGGTGCTGGCCACTTAGGAACATTCTTTCCACTTTGGTGCTTCCCTCCAGCGGTGCTTCGTCTCAGTATTGTTTCTGGTCTGCCTCAAGTTCGTTCTTGGATGGGTTTGGTTCCCTGAAACCACAGCCCCTTCCTTCTCCTCAGCCCTTTAAGCAGAGGGTCTCAGCCCAGGCTGCACACTTAGAGCTTCTGACAGAGGCCACTGCCCAGGTCCCCACTGGGACGTAATTGCCGTGGGGTGCAGGTGGATCTTTCTCATAAGCTCCCAGGTGACCCCACTGTGAAGACGGAGTTGAGCCCCACTGGTTTGGACAGTGTAGGATGAGAAGAGTTGGTAAGAACTCCACCTGTGGACTGGATCACTTCTCTAGATTCTGCTTTGTTTTCTGTGAACGGAGACGGTGTGGCTTCAGGGCTGAGCGTTCATCTAGTTGAGAGTGAAGGGGATCTGGACAAATTGGGCACCTCAGGCTTGGAGGAAATCAGTGGAGCCCTGACCCCCAGGTCCCAGCAAAGCTGAAGATGGTCACCAGCACTCTGGAAAGGATGCTTTTAACAGAGGGGCCTCCCTCTTTGCCTGACACCCCTCACCCCCCCAGCTGCTTCTGCGTGGTTGGTCCATCTGATCTCGCCTTGCCCATTTCTCCTCGGGGTGTTTCCTGACCCCAGGACTACATTTGTAACGTTGTGCAACCATCACCACTCTCTAATTCCAGACATTTTCATCACCCCAAAGGGAGACTCCATACCCATTAAGAGTCACTCCCTAATTTCCCCTCCCCCAGCCTCTGGCAACCACTAATCTGTTTTCTGTCTCTATGGGGTGCAGATGAATATCCATTCTGGATATTTCATGTGAACAGATACAGCCAAGAGCGCTTTGATGATTAAATCAACCGTGTAAGGTGCTTGATTCCAACACACGAGGATTTCTTCAGTCCATGTTAGCTGTTACTACTAAAGCATCTAAAAGGGAAAGACTGGCACAGTCTGAATTTAGCCTAGCTCTGACTCCAGTACGTGGTCTCATAGTGTCCTGTGTGGAAGGATGGCTTAACACCAAGCTCTCCGTGCTCCTGTGGAGGGAGGGCAGAGCCGGCAGGAACTCCTCTTTCCTACTCTGCACTTCTCAAAAAGGAGTCTTCTTGGGGAACAGCAAAGACTAGGGCTAAACGTTGTCAATCTGGCGATCAAGGATGTGGGAGAAGCTGTTGATGGGAACAGTGAAGAAGAGTTCCATGTTTCCATAGCCGTTCCATGTAAAAAACATATTCTTGAAAAAATGTAGATCCCGAGGTCTATTTACGGTAATTGGACGGTCCTGGTTGCTCCCCAGGTTTCCTTCTAAGTTGTACAAAAGGAACCGTCTCCTTAACTTTCTTCTCTGACCACTCCCCTCTCTTTCCTCCCTTTCTAGAAAAATGTTTTTTCCATGTTGAAGACGATCCTTCTATATCTTTCAAGATATTTAGCTGATCAGTGGAGATGTCCCACGTTTTGATATATGCAGATGCCCTAAAAATGGAGGGGCATGGTGACAGGACAGCTCTCAAGCCAGTCCCCAAACGGTTGAACTGAGAACCAGCAGCGACTACCATGTCCCTGCCCTCAGAACCCCTGGGCCTGCTCCTTTTAGATTTTTGCAAGTCAGCTCGGAGACACAGACCCTCACATCCTACTTTACACGAAGCCATTGCGTGTGTCTACCGGGAAGCCATGGTTTGTCAAATGTCTTTGGAAGAACTGTCATCAGCGTAGAGACGAGAATTATAATTAAACTTGTGCCGAAAAGAAGAGATCATTGTGACTTTAATCTAATATGTCATTTGCTATTTTAAATTACAATTTGGTGACTATATCATATGCCCTCCTGTTCATTTAGTGTTATGAACACCTTAAGGTAGCGTCTGAGTATTAAGGAAGTTGAAAGTGCCTCATATGAAACCCTCTGGTTAGGACGCGCTCTGGCCGGAACACAGTGAAAGGGTGCGTTTGCTGTAATCTGGGCAGCCCAGATGACATCGAAGAAACCGCTTCACGTTGTCAGATCAGATTCGTTCTTGTGTTCAAAGGGGACACGTCTCTCCCCAAGCTGAGCTTGAGCGGTCGAGTTCATGAATGAGCGTACATCCTGGAGGTCACCCTGCTTGATTCAGCCCATCCTTTCAGGGGGTTGTCATGGACACTTTCGTGACCTTCCAGCTTTGTGTCATCCCTAAGAATTCTCTTCTACAACTTAATTCAGAGCATTGAGAAAAGGGTTGGCTAGGAGAGAATCAAGGTAGAACCTGATGATGTTGTTACTAATAAATAATAATCAGTGCTAATTAGTGATACCTCTTCAGACAGATATCTGTCTGTTCTCCCTTGTGAATAAAATCCATCCATTCCTGTATTTTTCCACCAACTAAATAAGTAATAACATATATGCCATCTTATAATCTTTTGACATCATAAAAAGAAGAAAGAATAGGGACCAACCAGAAATCAAGCAAAAAGACTCAGAACATGAAAATATTTTGTAGTCATTTTCAGATTGCTCTATTATCTTAGTTTTGTCTGAAGTGAATTCGTCTCCTAATGATTGATTGTCTTGTCTGTCCAGCCTTAGTTTTCTTCAGGTGTTATAGAATTTTAGTGTGTGTGTTTGTCTTGACAGAGTAACCTCCTGCCCCTGACTACATCATGCCCCTGCCCCCTGCACACACATCACACACACCACACACACACCATACACACACATACCTAACACCCTATACACACACACCATACACGCCATACATGCACACATACTACACACATTATACACACACACATCATACACACACACACCCCTCCCTTCACTGTCCGTTTCACTTCCTCTGGTTGCCCACAACCTGTGTCGCCAGCTGAGAGCTCCTGCCCCTGGCTGACCTGGGCCCCAAATTCAAAGGTGGTGTTTCCAGCCCCGAGTGCTCTGTATTCTGGGTACTCTTTGGCCATGTTTCCCCTCGGACTTGAAAGCCCTGGACGGCTTCTGCCTGCCTTCGGTAGCCCTCAGCCCCGTCGGTTCTCTTCTGTTTGGGCCAGTGACAAGCTTGCCTTTGAGGATTCCCTGTTTTGTCACACATGTTTTCTCTTTTCCTTTTGTGGATTTGTGCTTGGGGGCATGGTAGGAGGGAAGATGGACTCTCTGAGCAAGAATTTATATCGCAAATTGGTGAGATTAGAGTAGATTTAGAGCTTGGAAAGAGAAGTACCAGCCATCCTCATTGTTTGCAGATTCCATATATGTGAGTTCAACTACTGCCTAAACATGTTTGTAACCCCAAAATCAGTCCTCACGATGCTTTTGTGGTCACTCACAGACGCGTCCAGAGCAGTGACAGTCTCGAATTGCCCGATGCACACGTTCTCGGCTGAGGTTGAACAAGGTGACACTCTGCCTAATTGTTTCAGCTCATGCTGTGAACAGGTGTCCTGTTCATGGTCTATTTAGTCCCATGTTTTTCACATTTTTGTGCTTTTTGTTGGTGATTTTGCTGTTTCAAATGCCCTCAATGATAGTGTTGCAGTGCTGTCCTGTGTTCCTGAGGGCGAGAAGGCTGTAATGGCTCATGGAGAGAACACGTGTGTTAGATGGGCTTTGTCCAGGATGAGTCACAGTGCTGTTGGCCCTGAGCTCAATGTGCATGAATCAACAGTGCATATTAAATAAGGTGTCTGTAAACAGAAACACACATCAAACAAGTTCATGCATGGATCGGCTGATGAAAATGTGTGACCAGGGGCTCACAGGAAGCTAACTCTCTTTTTCCTGGGAGCGTGGTTCAGTATTTGCTAATCAGTGTTCTCAGCAACATTGTAGAGCATAATTACTGCCGCTTAGGGGAGTGGAGTGTCTGTATGGGAGGGAAGATGGAAGCCTTCCCTGAGCAGGTCACTGAGCTGGCCCCAGGCAGCCCTTTCTTCCAGCCCTCACTGAAGTTTGCTCCTCTGTGACCGCTCTCCTTTGCAGGTTACTTTCTGAATTTTCTGGAGCCAGTAAACAATATCACCATAGTCCAAGGCCAGACAGCAATTCTGCACTGCAAGGTGGCCGGAAACCCACCCCCCAGCGTGCGGTGGCTGAAGAATGACGCCCCGGTCGTGCAGGAGCCACGGCGGGTCATCATCCGGAAGACGGAATATGGGTCTCGGCTGCGCATCCAAGACCTGGACACGACGGACACCGGCTACTACCAGTGTGTGGCCACCAACGGGGTGAAGACCATTACTGCCACCGGCGTCCTGTTTGTGCGGCTTGGTGAGTCGGGCCAGCTGAGGCGTGTCGGTTATCAGATAGGAACGTTCACAGCCACCGAGTGGGAGGTTAATTTGCAGCTTGAAACTGAACACACACAAGCCCGCAGAGAGGAAATCAATAAAACCATTCCCCAAGGCCCTTCCCATTGTGCGCGACGTCCCGGCTTAACCTGTTACCCAGTTACTTGTCATTAAAGAAAATCGACACAGAGGGAAGGGTCTGTAAACATGGAGTGCAGAAAATAATCCCAGACGCAAAGGTGAGCTGCGAGGTGTAGGGGGAAGGCCGTGGGTCAGAAGGTCGCCCCATGGGGAGGCTAGCCACCCACAGCCCAGGGCGGCCCTGGGGGCCTCTGAGAGGCCCAGGCTGAACGAGACAGGTACCTATCTGCCCCATAGAAACCTGGGCCCAGCTGAGAAAGGGTGGAGAGCAGAGCACGATGGCAGTTCTGTGCTCTTGTGCTTGTCACAAGTGGCGACAGAATTAAATGACTGGAAGGAATGTGTCCTCTTTTCATCTCAGTTGTGAGAAAGTCCCCACAATGCCCCAGCTCATCACACAAGCCCCAGACCACTCTGTCACCCATTAGTAAAGTAGATCTCGTGAATCAGGATTGATGAGAGGAGAGAGAGAAAAGACTAAAAACTCCCGAAATACCTCCAAACGTTTCTGCATGAGTGGAGAGCGCCCTTTCCGTTCCCTGTGGTTTTCTCCCCCGCTGGCATATAATCGTGGGCAGGAGCAGAGCCCGGGGCCTGAGGACAGCTCACCGCAAATGAGCACGCTGGGCTGTGGCCATCTTTTCCACCGTTGGCTGGGGTGGAAAAAAGTTTTATTCCAAATCATGAAGTATTAATAACTTGTCTTCTTTTTTTTCTTTTTAGGTCCAACACACAGCCCAAATCATAACTTTCAGTAAGTATCCGTTTTCCTCAAACCATTTTCTCATTCTCCGAGGGTTTCCGTTATGTAAGAATTCAGGTTTTAAATCCGGCAAACACATGTCTTTGCTGAGTTTGCTGGAAGTTGGCTGGACTTCACACAGGGATGGCAGTGTGCTTCCTTTGGGCTGGAAAACTTATGTGTTTCCTGTTTAGTGTTAGGAGAAAATGTCATGAAAACAAACATTGTTCATCCCTCTCAGCAATCGGGACCTTACAGGACAACTGGAAGGAGTGTCAGCATACAGACCAGGCTGCCAGGGCCCCCAGGACCTGGAGTCCCAAGGACGTTTGGAAATGGGGGGGCAGTTCTCACTGAAATGCCAGCACTCGTAACTGCGTTGCTGGCTGCAGTCTCTGAATGAGTGCCCCTCGAGCCGCAGGGCGCCTGCAGCCGTGGCCGGGGTCTCAGACCCGCCTCAGAGATAAGGAGACTGAGGCTCAGAGGCTGGCTCACGGGTCGTTATCGAGCTGTGGGGGGTTCGGGCTGTGAGTTCAGGCTCTCGTTTCCAGTTACAGCGTCTTTCCACCGCACCCGTCCGTCTTGGGAAGGCTCTCCTCTGGCCTTCACAGGTTCTGTCGTCATGTGTGTGAGGATCACTCTTTTCAGCGCCTCTGTTCGAGGTCAGCAGTGGCTGTTGGATTCCTCATTTCCCTGGCAGACAGATCCGAGAGCAAGGCTTCACTTCCAAATGTTCTGAACAATGACACGGAGGCCATGTTGGGTAACTGAGCAGCATCTGCTTATCCGTGTCCCCCAGGCACCTCGTAAACAGGGGCCACTGGGGTGAGGTGGGTGGGCGGGGGTGCTCCTGTTAGCAGACATCAGGTGCTGCTTGCAGAAGGCAGGCTTTTGAGAACGTTCTGTGCTGAGCAGTAGCCCAAATTGCATAGAGTCAGGAAAGAAGAAATTGCATCAAGGGCACACGTGTGAGGTTCAGAAGAGGTGTAAGTCGTTTCAAAAGTTGAATTATTGTTTTCTTTTATATTTATAAAATGTACAATTCATTTATATAAGTATACAATAGAAACATATTATAAAATATATTATTTTTATGTAATTATAATGTAATTTATTAACTATCAAATATATTTACATATTTAAATTTCATACAAAACTTTAACAATATTTTTACATTTATTTGCTTCACATTTTTAATTATGGATTAAATCAACACATTCGTGTAGATAATTGGGGCAGTTCTGGTAAAAGTGAATGTTTGCCCCGTCCGGGCTTGTGCCCCAGGATGGCCTCCGTGGCCACGTGGATGTGCCAGACCAGGTCCTTCTCAGTATTTGGTACATATACATACCTGGAGAGGTTCATCATCTCACTTTTGTTCACGTTTTTACATAATGATATTGAATTTGACATGTTTAATTAACAATGTCAGTATATGTCAAGTTTCCCTGACAATCTTTCTCCCTCTCTCTGTCCCCGGAGCATGTGACTCTGCCCACAGTGACGGGAGTTTCCATGTGTCCCATGTCCGTGTCAGCCTCCCTTTTTGTGTCCTGAGACCGGGGCGAGGTTCTCCAAGGCAGATTCCACAGAGCAGGCCATCAGGGCACAGGATGTGCCTTTCGTAAGCCACCCTGCCTGGGCGCGTGCCCAGGTCGCTCCCTGCCACAGCATGACAACCTCTTTCTCCTTATCTTCCCAGCTGATTTCCAGCTCTGTTCGTTTTTGCCCCTCTGAGGAGGAGAATGGGCATTGGCTGCTTTATTCTCCCCCGTCACCAATGAGGCATGCTCGGTGATACTCGTTTCCTGGCATTCGTGGTTCCTCTTTGTCAACTGTCTCTTCATTCTTTGCCCATTGCCCTTACATTGTTTGTTTCTTAAGGATTTTTTTTTAAAGATTTTATTTTTTTCCTTTTTCTCCCCAAAGCCCCCTGGTAGATAGTTGTATATTCTTCGTTGTGGGTCCTTCTAGTTGTGGCATGTGGGACGCCGCCTCAGCCTGGCTCGATGAGCAGTGCCATGTCCGCGCCCAGGATTCGAACCAACGAAACACTGGGCCGCCTGCAGCAGAGCGCATGGACTTAACCACTCAGCCACGGGGCCGGCCCCTCTTAAGGATTTTTAATGATTATTTATGTCTTATTTCTTGATCATCTAGGAATTAAAATTTTTCTGTCATTTATCAGTAATTACCCATAATTTCTATGGGTTTTCACGTTGTGTCTTGTTAAAGGAACTCTCTGATTTACTGAAAGCCAGCCCTGGTGGTCTATTGGTTATGATTTGGTGCTCTCGCTGCTGTGGTCCAGGTTGGTTTCCCAGTCAGGGAACCACACCACCCGTCTGTCAGTTGTCATACTGTGGTGGCTGTGTGTTGCTGTGATGCTGAAAGCTATGCCACTGGTGTTACAGATACCAACAGGGTCACGTGGTGGACAGGTTTCAGCGGAGCTTCCAGACTAGACGGACTAGGAAGAAGGACGTGGCCACCCACTTCCAGAAAAGGTAGCCATTAAAACCCTCGGAACAGCATTGTCTGCTACAGCGCCCGAAGGTGACAGGACGGTGCGGGAAGACCGGCAGGTTCTGCTGTGCTGTCACAGTCGCTAGGAATCAGAATCGACTCCACAGCGCTGACAACAACCACGGTCTCCTTGGAAACTTCTGATGCTATTTTGATTAAGATTACACTGAATTTTTAGATAAATTTGGTGAAAATTAATATCTAAATTGAGTTATCCTATTAAGGACCACTTTCTTTGTGCTTTGATATTCTTTTTTCTTAACATTTTATTATGAAAAATTTCAAACATGGAAAAGTAGAAAGAATTTTGTAGTGAACCTCCAACCCATATATCTACCAACTGGACCCTCCCATTTATGTTTCACTGCACTAGCTTTATCAGTGATCTTGTCTCCATCCATCAATCCCTCTCACTTTTTGATTCATTTCACTGTAAGTTGCAGATGTTTGTATACTTATCCTGAAATGTTTCAGTATGGAAATCATTAACAAGCGTTCAATATCTGTGTACTATTCTTGTTTCTTCCTTTTGAATGAACACTTATATACTGGGGCCGGCCCCATGGCCGAGTGGTTAAGTTTGTGCTCTCCGCTTTGGCAGCCCAGGGTTTCACTGGTTCGGATCCTGGGCACGGACCTAGTACCACTCATCAGGCCATACTGAGGTGGCATCCCACGTAGCAGAACTAGAAGGACGTACAACTAGAATATACAGCTATGTACTGGGGGGCTTTCGGGAGAAGAAGAAGAAGAAAAAATTTGCAACAGATGTTAGCTCAGGTGCCAATCTTTAAAAAAAAAAGACACTTATATACAGCAAAATGCACAAATCTTAAGTATTCCATTAATAAGGTCCAATAAGTACAAAACCCTCTGCAATCCAAACCCCTTTCCAGGCAGAGAACATTCCTATCACTCTAGAAAGTTCTATCATGCAACTTCCTATTCCTAGTCAGCACCCTACCTCCCCAGCAACTACTGTTCTGATTTTTTTCTACCATACACTAGTTTTACGTGTTTTAGAACTTCATAGAAGAAATGAAATCTTAAGACACATAGCCACTTAAGCCTGGCTTCCTTCACTTAACATAAAGTTTTCAAGATTCATCTATGTTACACGTGTATCAGTAGGTTGCTGCTTTTTATTGCTGAATAGTGTTCCATCAAAGGACTATACCAGTTGCTTTATCTGTTTTTCCTGTTGATGGACACCAGGTTGCATCTCTTGATTGTGATGCATAAGCTGCTATGGATATTCTCATACATGTTTTTTGTGGCCATATATTTTCATTTCTGTTAGGTAAATACCTAGGAGTAGAATTGCCTCCTTTGGGGTATGTGTATGCTGAGCTTTGTAAGAAATACCAGATCTTCTTCTAAGGTACTTTGCACTTCCACTGGCAAGTAGAAGAATTCTGGTCACTGCACATGTTCACTAACATTTGGTCTGGTCAATCTTTTTTTCTTTTTCTTTTTTTTTCTTGGTGAGGAAGATTGGCCCTGAGCTAACATCTGTTGCCAATTTTCCTCTTTTTGCTTGAAGAAGATTGTCGTTGAGCTAACATCCAAGCCCATCTTCTTCTTTTTGTATGTGGGACGCCGCCACAGCATAGCTTGATGAGTGGTGTGTAGCTCCACACCCAGGATCCAAACCTGTAAACCCCGGGCTGCTGAAGTGGAGTGCAAAAACTCAACCACTATGCCACTAGGCTGGCCCCTGGTCAATCTTTTTAATTTGAGCCATTCCGATGTGTATGTAGTGGTTCAAATGATCTTTTATGTCATTCTAGCTTCTTGAAAAAGTAATTTTTCTTAGCCATTTAAAATTTTCAAGCAAATGCATTTAAGACTATGAAGTTTCCTCTGAATACCATTTTGGCCACATCTGTTTCCCTTCCAGGCACATAGGCTTTTATTTTTTGTTATTTTTGTTACATTATTATCAGTGAATTTGGGGTGTATTTTACTTTTGGTAATTTGTTGAGATTTTCTTTGTGGCCCATCAGATGTGGTCAATCTTTGTGAATATTTCCTCTTGTTTCAAAAAATAAATGTACTCTGATGGTGGCCACACAGATCTCGATTCATATATTACATCACATATGTTAACTGTGTTATTAAAAGTATCTATATTTTTTTGTCCACATGAGTTACAGATATCTGAAAATGTGTGAAAGTCATCCAAGGTCTTCTGGCTTTACCAATTTCTATCAGTTTTCTATTTTTCTTTTTATTTTGTGTGTATGTTCTTAAATACCTATAGGTGTGAAGTTGTATAGCTTTTGTTTTGTTTTTAAATGCTTTCAATGCTTTTCACCTTGAATTCACTTTTGCCCAACAATCATAATGCTGCACCTGCTTTCTTTTTATTCACATTTTTCAGGAACCTCTTTTACTATTCCTGTCCCACTTTCTTCTTCAAACTTTCTGTGTTCTATGTAGATCTCTTAGAAATAGCATATAAGTACATTTTTTTTGAAGGTTGA